GTGAAGGAGTGCAAATAAACCAGGAGAAAGTGTTCTCTGAGTTGTGGCCGAGGATCGATATTCTAATGCTCGACAGTAGCTGGATGCATCATTGTGGTGGAATGGTCCTTGGCATATGATTTGGTTGCAAGAAGTGGAATATGTGTAGAAGATGGGAACTGACAGACTTCCGGTTTGGATCAGTTCCTGCGTAAAGGTTGGTATGAGCTGTTCTCTCAGTTTGTTCATTTTTTCCTTTTGGGGCATTCCCTAATAAAATTTATGTGAATATTGGTTGTCGAATTTATGCAATAATTTGTTTGATTGATCAGTGTTTCTGTTGAATGTGACGAGTGATGTTTTTTAAATTCACACCATTGCCATTGCTAGTTTTGGACATATCGACCGTTGTTACCTTGACTAATGATATTTTGAGTAATGAGGTCGAATGTCAGTCTCAGTCATGGATGGGACGAATGTTATTCGTGCAAAGGCTGCAATTGTAAATGTTGAGAGTTCAGGATAAATAGTGTTTAAATACAAGTTTGTGTGTTCAAGTTCAATGGAGGACAACATATTTGAGCATAGCTATTGGTGTGAAGCAAACCTTAGATTAATGATTAATAGGTTGATGTTTTTAACTATCCTGGGGTTGAGTGCCCAGTGTTTGGATTTCCATCGAACCATTATTTCATTTTTCATTTTATTAAGCGAACGACGGAGGCTGGCTTCGAAAGTAGAATGAAGATCCAACTAACCTGAAATGAATCCATTCTAATCAATTGTGACATTGAAGTCCTTCACTCCCAAAATCACACTGAACCGTATTTGTCATCTTCAGTTTGTCTCATTCGACCCACCCCGCCCCGACACTTTTCGCTAATAATTCATAATTGAATACAGAGCAGCTTTCTTCTAAACCATTCTTTTTTTTTTTCTTCTACTTCTTCAAAGTTTTGAATTTAGATTTTAAATTCAAAATGGCATTCATGCTCTTGTTATGCATTGCTGTCCTAGCCTTGCAAAAGGTTGAAATAGTTCGGGATGGCAATAACAGGCTAATTGATTCTATTCAGTGTTTAGTTTTGGATTGTAAGATTGGAGACTTTGTTTTGATGTAATTTGTTTTATTTTCCTTGACCATGTTGGTCTTTGAGGGGAGGAGTATACTCCTTCCCGTAGCATTTGGGGCTCTTGTTCCAAAAGTTGTAATCCTCGGGTTATGCAGTGTATTGAGACAGTTTATTTGAGTAATATATTTGTTTGTTTGCCTTGGAAAAAAAAA